TATTATATTATATAATATAATATAATATTATATTATATTATATTATATATTATGTATATATAGACCCTTCTGGAATCCTCCCCTCGGTCCTCGGTCAGCATCGCGTTAGACAAAAACAACCCAGGACCCAGAGCCCTCAAGAAGTCAAGCTGGAAGAAGCCCACAAAAGCAGATCTCAATCCCATGAGCAAGGAAGCTCCCCCTTCAAGGGTTTAGGGTTTAGGGTTTAGGGTTTAGGGCGCCTCACCATTCTCCCAACACCATGCAACGACGTCGTCTCGATCTGCATCAGTCGTTCCCCAGAGATCGCCAGCTGGGGCCTTGGCATACCCCTGTGCTCTCTGTTTGGTGTCGTTGTGCGCGTTTGTGCTTTCGCCGTGCTACTAAAGCTTCATGTCACAGTGATGAGGCAGTTGCATGTGTCTGCTGTTGCCCAAACTACTGCTCCCACCACTACTACGACGGCGGCTGTACTATTACTACGACCACTGCTACTACTGCTTCCTGTTGCAATGAAAGTCACCATGGCGTTCTTCTTCTTGTTCTCGAAGTTTAGCATTCGTCCTGTTTTTCTTCCTCACGTTGCGAAACCCCTAAAGCTTCTTTGCGTGGTTCTTTTGTTGGGGGAATCCTCACTATAAATGTCTATAGACAACCAAGCAGGCTCACGCGAAAGCCCCATACATCTCTACAAAGCCCTTGACCTCTGTAGGCTAGAGTTGTTTCGGTCTGGATTTCTATTTCGGAGTTGAGGATTTCAGAACTACGGAGCTGTGCTTTGCCTTTCGCAGTATCGGAATGCAGCGCGTCTTAAGACAAGCGCAACAACTCTGAAACGACGAGCAAGACCTCAATGACTCAATGCGGCATGGTGGCAAGACCCTCTGCCGATAGCCGTGGAAGAGCCACCTTCAGGGGTGCATTCGGAATCCACAAGGGCACCGGCAGTTGGACTTCCGAAGGCATTACAACGTGCAACGGGGTAGCTGGGTATATAGCTTTCCAAAGAAGTTGGATATATTTCCACATCCCAAGTACTTCCAACAAAAGACGGCAAGCAGGATTCCTATCAGTCCGGGTGCCGGAACCACAAGGGCCGAGTCATGAATTCAAGAAGCACGGCCTGGGGTTTAAGGCCCGCCTTCGCAGACACACTGTCTGAATCTTGCATTTACGGTCCCTTTGTCTCGATAAAGCAAACAAAAGCCCCAAAACCCACCTGAGCCGAAACCCTAAACTCTCAGCCCGGTCAGTACACCAGCCCGCTTCTCCCCGGCTCAAACCGCCAGTGCCCTTCTTGGAGGGCTGCTGCGCTGACCCAAACAAAACCCACCCTAAACCCTAAACCCTAAACCCTAAACCCCTAAACCCCTAAACCCCTAAACCCTAAACCCTAAACCGTGTCATGCAGGAGGGGCCTGGGAAGCCTGAACCCCAAAGCCCCTGCAAAGCCTCAGAAATCGATGCTCCTCCCAACGCCACTTGGCCCGGGGAACCATGGAGATCGTCCGCTCCTGGTCCAGCGGTGTAGGGTTTGGGGTTTAGGGTTTAGGGTTTAGGGTCTAGCGGTGGTGTGTACTTTATTTTTCTTTGAGGGTGGGCCTTGTTGTTTCTGACTGGGTGAGGTTTATACAGTCTTGCTAAGGGTTTCATAAGGGTCTTGCAACGGTTTGGTTGACTTTGATAAAGGAACTGCATGGTTTCTATGAAGGTATTTAGACGGGTTATGAAGCTTCTTCTACTCCAAGGACTTACAAGGGTTTTTATAGGGTGCCAACTAGGGGCTTTATACAGAAGCTCAGGCTCTATTCCAAGCTCCCTTGGTGTCTCAACCTCCCAAAAAGTCAACGGGCTTATAGTTCGGGTTTAGGGTTGGGGTTTAGGGTTGGGGTTTAGGGTTTTAGGGTTTTAGGGTTTCAGGGTTTTAGGGTTTTAGGGTTTTAGGGTTTCAGGCCAGGGATGAACGCTGGGCTTAAAAGCTGCGCCCTGGAGTCGAGATGAGGGCTTGACGTTTAGGGGCTTTGCAAGTCAGGCCTAGGAGGGTTTAGAGTTTCACTGGCACGTGGTCTTAAAGGTTTATGTTGTAGCGTTGTGCTCTCTGGTGATGACTAGCAACAGCACAAAGTCACGAAGTTTAGTACTTTGAAGCTGGGCGCTGGCGTCAGGACTTGGCTTTACGCTTTAGGGTTCAGTCTGCGCCTGAACGGCACACGATAAGTCGAGTTTGATCGCGGTTTAGAGAACTCTTCTTAAACCGCACAGAGTCAGAGGGTTGCCAGAAGCGACCCCCCACGGTTTAGGGTTTATGATAGCATTGCGCAAAATCAGCCCCAATTGCCGGAGGAAAACACATCCCGACGCAATTATAAACAGGTACAAACAGGCTTGAATTAGAACCCTTACAAGCATCCAAGCCAAAGCCGTGAAACCCCCCAATATGCCTCTATTCGACCCTGACCAAGCCCAAAACCCTAAACCTACACAAAGCCCTGAAACGCTGCACTGCCAAATTCACGGCCTGGGCTGAGCTGAAACTACCTCGGAGTCCCGAGCCCATACCGCCAAACGCCCAAGAACCCCAAACCCCCAAACCCGAAAAAAACTCTACGCCCTAAGCCCTAAACCCTAAACCCTAAATCCTAAACCCTAAACCCCTAAGCCCTAAACCCTAAACCCTAAACCCTAAACCCCTAAACCCTAAACCCAAAACCCTAAACCCTAAACCCATAGAGCCTCGA